CTAGTAAGAAATATAATCCTAAGTATCTGTACAACAAAGCAGTTGCCCTGTTTTACCTCTGGGGGTACGGGTGTCCCAGTCTAAGGCGCCGCGATTCGCCAGAAACCTAAGGTTCGTCAGCACCATACCCGTGCTCGTGAGTTTTACCGAGGTGGTAAACATCTAACATCTGCATCTCTTCGGAATTTCCTCCCACATTAAGCTGACAGGCCGTGATATAACTGAAATACTCACTCACTCACTCACTAACTCACCCAAAACCCAACTCACTCACTGTTTACGTTTCATGCCCTGTATTACCTCTAATGCCCTGTATTACCTATCATGCCCTGTATTACCTCTAATGCCCTGTACTACCTCTAATCTCCTGTATTACCTATCATGCCCTGTATTACCTCTAATGCCCTGTATTACCGATCATGCCCTGTATTACCTCTAATGCCCTGTACTACCTCTAATGCCCTGTATTTCCTATCATGCCCTGTATTACCTCTAATGCCCTGTATTTCCTATTATGCCCTGTTTTTCCTCTAATGCCCTATATTTCCTCTAATGCCCTGTATTTCCTATCATGCCATATATTACCTCTAATGCCCTGTATTTCCTCTAATGCGATGTATTACCTTTCATGCCCTGTATTACCTCTAATGCCCTGTATTTCCTCTAATGCGATGTATTACCTTTCATGCCCTGTATTACCTATCATGCCCTGTATTACCTCTAATGCCCTGTATTTCCTCTAATGCGCTACTACCTCTAATGCCCTGTATTACCTATCATGCCCTGTATTACCTATCATGCCCTGTATTACCTCTAATGCCCTGTACTACCTCTAATGTCCTGTTCTACCTCTAATGCCCTGTATTACCTATCATGCCTTGTATTACCTCTAATGCCCTGTATTTCCTATCAATGGAAATCAATTCACGAAGCGTAGAGTAGAGCAGCTTTGATTTTATTGTAAAAAACACGCAAACAAATCAATCACAGGACCAAAAGCCAAATTTGACATGATTGGAACAAGCTCAAATAAGTAGACAATGCATGCGATGACAGGAAATTGCGTCTGTTTCCTGATATGAACTAATTTGGGGCGTTTATTTTACATGAAGCTATACCTTTGAAACATATGATCATCGTTGATTGCTGTATGTACAAGCACCGTTGTCATGAACACCACATGTAAAAACATAGACCATCTAGAATATATATACATAAGACAAAATGTATCAGATAACAAAAGGTTTCTTGCTTTAATAAGGAGGGGAACGATCAATCAAGCAGGTCACCATCAGCAGTGTTGTGTACTGACCAATGCTGACCATAATACTAATTTGTTCGGCTATGCACTGCGGCCGCTGGACAATAGAATTCATGGAGTGTGATGGGTTTGATGGATACATACTAAATACAATTTTGCATCCTTCAAGGTAAAAGAATAGCGATATAAAAGAGTGGTGCAAAACTCTGCAAACGTACACAGTCTTATATTTAGTTTATGTGTGCGTATTAAGCACCCTGAACATGATTCACATGTATGTCTACCTAAAGTAAACATAACATGCACGAGTGTTGGCTGCTGGAACCAATGTGAATTTATAGTGTTTTTAAGGGAAAGTCCGTTGATGTTTTGGAGGTGGAGGAGGAGGGGTCGGGGACAGAGGCTTGTTTCATTGTTTAACAAATACTGGAGGCACTATTTGACCGCAGAGTTTACATTTAAATTATAACTGTTCACCAGACACGTGGGATTTCCTGAAACAAATGTTTTGTGGTTCCTAACAAGATTATCCTAACAAAGCAATGCCTTGATCTACTGTTACCTGTAATGTGTGTTCGGTCCTGGTGCAGGCATACCTTTTCTTAAATCTAAGGTTAATACATTGGCTTACCTCCGAGACGTCTTACACAGCCGCATAAAATATTGATATCCTGGCGTGAGATAAGAAAGTACCTCCCCAAGTGATGACACTATTTTCAAAGCAACGTCATCGTCTTTGGAAGCCGTTATTGAAGACGTCGTCAGAAGGTATATCTCTCCTGAAGAAACACAGAATGCATATGCTATGATCAATCTGGACGAAAACCTATCAACACGGTTATAGCAATATACATGTAGGCGATCGTTTTGATTTAAGGATAGACTTAACCCTCGCAATGTCACCTTGTTCATCTTGACCAAAGGTCAGTAGGAAGTCTCTGGGTCGCTCCCTGGTGTCACACGGACACTGATTTCCATCACAAACCGGAAGCATCTCATCCTAGTGTCACTGGCATATACCCTTTCAGGTGACTAATGTGACTTTCAAATGGCACGGGTAGTCTGGAGGCATAATGCATCGGAATTCATGTGTGCTGATTTTCATCTGTTATCTGTTTCTAGTATCCTCTGGTCTTTGGTTTAGATCTAAGCGTCGCCCAAACTATGATATTTGGTCTTTTGGCACTGAAGTGGTAAATGTCGAAGACATGAGTAAATATTCATTTTATCCTGTTTGAATAAGTTAACATTACTAAATATTGTTCAGACGGCATCAACTCACTCAGCCAATCATTAACCTCAAGTCTTGTGGTATCAGTCTGAAAACCCAACAACATCTTAGGCAGTTTGATTTTATTGCCAATTAACGTTAATTCTTAAGTTAACAGATTAACTTCCGGCCTCTGTGGGGGCATAGATGACCCAGTTATCTAAGGCACTGTAATTCGCTGTGCAGAGGTGCATTCCTTGGACAACTTGGCTGAAAGATCTGATGTTTCTTGGGATGTCAGCACCATACCGGTGCTCATGAGTTTAACCAAAGAGGTAAATGTCTAAGACAAGATTCACTTATGACATAACTCCGACATTAAGCTGACACAGAGTTGTATAACTCAATCACAAACTCAATCACTACACTCTGTACATATCTGGCATGTACTCACCCGGTCCATGGCGTCTCGTACAGATAGCGCCCGTACAAGTCAAGGAAGATTCCTGCCTCTGTACACATATCCCCCGACGACAGCATGGAAGAGGTTGGTGTGCATGTACATGTAGATCGGCAGCGCTTCGTTCTCTGTAACCACATTCAGGATGAAGTCTACAGAAGACACTCTTTGTTTCCAAACAGTAGTAGGATCACCCATCACCCCGAAGGAAATAAGAAACCAACCTACCCGACCCCACCACACACCAGTCTACCCCACACCTCACCTCAACATCACACAGAAAGGAGTAATGATATTTGTGTCATCCATATCAATCAAAAGAAAATTCCAAAGAAATCATCTCCCTTCCATCCTCTCAAAATTTGCTATGGAAACTCATCGATTTCTGGCTATCTGACTGACGTGAGGGAAATTAAAATTTTGATTACTAATATAAGAACGTTTTTGATCCTTGTGGATGGTCCAGACAAATTATTCTCATGAAATGCAAATGAATTTTCGAGACATGTTGGTGCCATATTGGGAGGAAACACCCCTACCCTCCACACTGTCGTGGTCAGCGTGGTCACATTTGGTCAGCAGACGGTGTCCCAGTCCGGTTCAACAGCTACACCAACAAGATGGAGCTGTTCACATCCATCCACAGTCTCCAGCCTCGGAGAGGGCCTGCTGATCTCGCAACAGTTCTGCATGATGTGGGCTCCGTGTTTGCAGGTGCCCGCGGAGGAAGACCTGAAGCCAAGAAGGTCGCAGTCCTTGTCATGGCGCAGATGATAACACGCGTCATCAGTATCTGGTGAGGACACTCAGGTTATCCTGCTGGATATTGGTGCCAGAGAAAGTATTCTCCATCCAAGTTTCTAAAGAAATCTGATATTTATATACCGACAACAGGGGCACGTGATCTGGCGAGGTACAGCCGAGACCTGCGTGGCATTGTATGCAGCAATGAACCATGAATAGGGGACCATACTCACAAATATAGCCTAATTAATACGTTGCAAGAATAAGCCCATATATATAGTGTGCTCATGGATAGCTGTCTGTCATGTTAGGTAACAGTAGAGAGTGTTGTCAGTGGCAGTAAATGATTGAAGGGCTAGTAAAATGCTAGGACATGCTTGATCGTTCTCTAGTTTTGGATGGGAACGCTTCTGGGAGGCAGACTGTACCTAAACAGAGCGAAAGGAGGGCGATTCGAGGCATTTTCTACTTGGCCAGTGCCTGAAAACACCGAATTCCAGCCTCTTATTATTTGGTGGTATAATGATATGTGAGGGAGTGAGTTAAAATTTTTCATCGCATCGGCAATATTGCGGCCCTATTGCGATTATAATGAAATGTTGTCTTGCCTTCTGACGGCATGTCTAAATTCTTGTTTTACAGGTAAGATTATATTTAATGAGTATCCCACCATATACTGTAGAATCAGTGGTAGTATTATATGTATCACGAAGCTATGCCCTTTGCGTTTTGCTTTGGTAAACACAATTATTGAGCTTGTTGATGAATTACACCTTAGGTGCCACCCTTAGGCATATGTATGTACAATATCAAAGGGACCTTTGCAAGCCTCTCGGTGATGCGCCCACAAGAGTAGAAACGTTACCATGCACGACTGTAGGAATATCCATACTTATGCACGAAAGCAACATTGTGTTTGTCCGAGGGCTGCAATTAGATCATTGATAAAACAAGAAAAAACAAGCAGAGATAACACCTTGTTGAATCGTTTATCTGTCTGGTTGTACCCCCTAGTAAGAAATATAATCCTAAGTATCTGTACAACAAAGCAGTTGCCCTGTTTTACCTCTGGGGGTACGGGTGTCCCAGTCTAAGGCGCCGCGATTCGCCAGAAACCTAAGGTTCGTCAGCACCATACCCGTGCTCGTGAGTTTTACCGAGGTGGTAAACATCTAACATCTGCATCTCTTCGGAATTTCCTCCCACATTAAGCTGACAGGCCGTGATATAACTGAAATACTCACTCACTCACTCACTAACTCACCCAAAACCCAACTCACTCACTGTTTACGTTTCATGCCCTGTATTACCTCTAATGCCCTGTATTACCTATCATGCCCTGTATTACCTCTAATGCCCTGTACTACCTCTAATCTCCTGTATTACCTATCATGCCCTGTATTACCTCTAATGCCCTGTATTACCGATCATGCCCTGTATTACCTCTAATGCCCTGTACTACCTCTAATGCCCTGTATTTCCTATCATGCCCTGTATTACCTCTAATGCCCTGTATTTCCTCTAATGCGATGTATTACCTTTCATGCCCTGTATTACCTATCATGCCCTGTATTACCTCTAATGCCCTGTATTTCCTCTAATGCGCTACTACCTCTAATGCCCTGTATTACCTATCATGCCCTGTATTACCTATCATGCCCTGTATTACCTCTAATGCCCTGTACTACCTCTAATGTCCTGTTCTACCTCTAATGCCCTGTATTACCTATCATGCCTTGTATTACCTCTAATGCCCTGTATTTCCTATCAATGGAAATCAATTCACGAAGCGTAGAGTAGAGCAGCTTTGATTTTATTGTAAAAAACACGCAAACAAATCAATCACAGGACCAAAAGCCAAATTTGACATGATTGAAACAAGCTCAAATAAGTAGACAATGCATGCGATGACAGGAAATTGCGTCTGTTTCCTGATATGAACTAATTTGGGGCGTTTATTTTACATGAAGCTATACCTTTGAAACATATGATCATCGTTGATTGCTGTATGTACAAGCACCGTTGTCATGAACACCACATGTAAAAACATAGACCATCTAGAATATATATACATAAGACAAAATGTATCAGATAACAAAAGGTTTCTTGCTTTAATAAGGAGGGGAACGATCAATCAAGCAGGTCACCATCAGCAGTGTTGTGTACTGACCAATGCTGACCATAATACTAATTTGTTCGGCTATGCACTGCGGCCGCTGGACAATAGAATTCATGGAGTGTGATGGGTTTGATGGATACATACTAAATACAATTTTGCATCCTTCAAGGTAAAAGAATAGCGATATAAAAGAGTGGTGCAAAACTCTGCAAACGTACACAGTCTTATATTTAGTTTATGTGTGCGTATTAAGCACCCTGAACATGATTCACATGTATGTCTACCTAAAGTAAACATAACATGCACGAGTGTTGGCTGCTGGAACCAATGTGAATTTATAGTGTTTTTAAGGGAAAGTCCGTTGATGTTTTGGAGGTGGAGGAGGAGGGGTCGGGGACAGAGGCTTGTTTCATTGTTTAACAAATACTGGAGGCACTATTTGACCGCAGAGTTTACATTTAAATTATAACTGTTCACCAGACACGTGGGATTTCCTGAAACAAATGTTTTGTGGTTCCTAACAAGATTATCCTAACAAAGCAATGCCTTGATCTACTGTTACCTGTAATGTGTGTTCGGTCCTGGTGCAGGCATACCTTTTCTTAAATCTAAGGTTAATACATTGGCTTACCTCCGAGACGTCTTACACAGCCGCATAAAATATTGATATCCTGGCGTGAGATAAGAAAGTACCTCCCCAAGTGATGACACTATTTTCAAAGCAACGTCATCGTCTTTGGAAGCCGTTATTGAAGACGTCGTCAGAAGGTATATCTCTCCTGAAGAAACACAGAATGCATATGCTATGATCAATCTGGACGAAAACCTATCAACACGGTTATAGCAATATACATGTAGGCGATCGTTTTGATTTAAGGATAGACTTAACCCTCGCAATGTCACCTTGTTCATCTTGACCAAAGGTCAGTAGGAAGTCTCTGGGTCGCTCCCTGGTGTCACACGGACACTGATTTCCATCACAAACCGGAAGCATCTCATCCTAGTGTCACTGGCATATACCCTTTCAGGTGACTAATGTGACTTTCAAATGGCACGGGTAGTCTGGAGGCATAATGCATCGGAATTCATGTGTGCTGATTTTCATCTGTTATCTGTTTCTAGTATCCTCTGGTCTTTGGTTTAGATCTAAGCGTCGCCCAAACTATGATATTTGGTCTTTTGGCACTGAAGTGGTAAATGTCGAAGACATGAGTAAATATTCATTTTATCCTGTTTGAATAAGTTAACATTACTAAATATTGTTCAGACGGCATCAACTCACTCAGCCAATCATTAACCTCAAGTCTTGTGGTATCAGTCTGAAAACCCAACAACATCTTAGGCAGTTTGATTTTATTGCCAATTAACGTTAATTCTTAAGTTAACAGATTAACTTCCGGCCTCTGTGGGGGCATAGATGACCCAGTTATCTAAGGCACTGTAATTCGCTGTGCAGAGGTGCATTCCTTGGACAACTTGGCTGAAAGATCTGATGTTTCTTGGGATGTCAGCACCATACCGGTGCTCATGAGTTTAACCAAAGAGGTAAATGTCTAAGACAAGATTCACTTATGACATAACTCCGACATTAAGCTGACACAGAGTTGTATAACTCAATCACAAACTCAATCACTACACTCTGTACATATCTGCATGTACTCACCCGGTCATGGCGTCTCCGTACAGATAGCGCCCGTACAAGTCAAGAAGATTCCTGCCTCTGTACACATATCCCCCGACGACAGCATGGAAGAGGTTGGTGTGCATGTACATGTAGATCGGCAGCGCTTCGTTCTCTGTAACCACATTCAGGATGAAGTCTACAGAAGACACTCTTTGTTTCCAAACAGTAGTAGGATCACCCATCACCCCGAAGGAAATAAGAAACCAACCTACCCGACCCCACCACACACCAGTCTACCCCACACCTCACCTCAACATCACACAGAAAGGAGTAATGATATTTGTGTCATCCATATCAATCAAAAGAAAATTCCAAAGAAATCATCTCCCTTCCATCCTCTCAAAATTTGCTATGGAAACTCATCGATTTCTGGCTATCTGACTGACGTGAGGGAAATTAAAATTTTGATTACTAATATAAGAACGTTTTTGATCCCTTGTGGATGGTCCAGACAAATTATTCTCATGAAATGCAAATGAATTTTCGAGACATGTTGGTGCCATATTGGGAGGAAACACCCCTACCCTCCACACTGTCGTGGTCAGCGTGGTCACATTTGGTCAGCAGACGGTGTCCCAGGTCCGGTTCAACAGCTACACCAACAAGATGGAGCTGTTCACATCCATCCACAGTCTCCAGCCTCGGAGAGGGCCTGCTGATCTCGCAACAGTTCTGCATGATGTGGGCTCCGTGTTTGCAGGTGCCCGCGGAGGAAGACCTGAAGCCAAGAAGGTCGCAGTCCTTGTCATGGCGCAGATGATAACACGCGTCATCAGTACTGGTGAGGACACTCAGGTTATCCTGCTGGATATTGGTGCCAAGAGAAAGTATTCTCCATCCAAGTTTCTAAAGAAATCTGATATTTATATACCGACAACAGGGGCACGTGATCTGGCGAGGTACAGCCGAGACCTGCGTGGCATTGTATGCAGCAATGAACCATGAATAGGGACCATACTCACAAATATAGCCTAATTAATACGTTGCAAGAATAAGCCATATATATCGTGTGCTCATGGATAGCTGTCTGTCATGTTAGGTAACAGTAGAGAGTGTTGTCAGTGGCAGTAAATGATTGAAGGGCTAGTAAAATGCTAGGACATGCTTGATCGTTCTCTAGTTTTGGGATGGGAACGCTTCTGGGAGGCAGACTGTACCTAAACAGAGCGAAAGGAGGGCGATTCGAGGCATTTTCTACTTGTGCCAGTGCCTGAAAACACCGAATTCCAGCCTCTTATTATTTGGTGGTATAATGATATGTGAGGGAGTGAGTTAAAATTTTTCATCGCATCGGCAATATTGCGGCCCTATTGCGATTATAATGAAATGTTGTCTTGCCTTCTGACGGCATGTCTAAATTCTTGTTTTACAGGTAAGATTATATTTAATGAGTATCCCACCATATACTGTAGAATCAGTGGTAGTAATATATGTATCACGAAGCTATGCCCTTTGCGTTTTGCTTTGGTAAACACAATTATTGAGCTTGTTGATGAATTACACCTTAGGTGCCACCCTTAGGCATATGTATGTACAATATCAAAGGGACCTTTGCAAGCCTCTCGGTGATGCGCCCACAAGAGTAGAAACGTTACCATGCACGACTGTAGGAATATCCATACTTATGCACGAAAGCAACATTGTGTTTGTCCGAGGGCTGCAATTAGATCATTGATAAAACAAGAAAAAACAAGCAGAGATAACACCTTGTTGAATCGTTTATCTGTCTGGTTGTACCCCCTAGTAAGAAATATAATCCTAAGTATCTGTACAACAAAGCAGTTGCCCTGTTTTACCTCTGGGGGTACGGGTGTCCCAGTCTAAGGCGCCGCGATTCGCCAGAAACCTAAGGTTCGTCAGCACCATACCCGTGCTCGTGAGTTTTACCGAGGTGGTAAACATCTAACATCTGCATCTCTTCGGAATTTCCTCCCACATTAAGCTGACAGGCCGTGATATAACTGAAATACTCACTCACTCACTCACTAACTCACCCAAAACCCAACTCACTCACTGTTTACGTTTCATGCCCTGTATTACCTCTAATGCCCTGTATTACCTATCATGCCCTGTATTACCTCTAATGCCCTGTACTACCTCTAATCTCCTGTATTACCTATCATGCCCTGTATTACCTCTAATGCCCTGTATTACCGATCATGCCCTGTATTACCTCTAATGCCCTGTACTACCTCTAATGCCCTGTATTTCCTATCATGCCCTGTATTACCTCTAATGCCCTGTATTTCCTCTAATGCGATGTATTACCTTTCATGCCCTGTATTACCTATCATGCCCTGTATTACCTCTAATGCCCTGTATTTCCTCTAATGCGCTACTACCTCTAATGCCCTGTATTACCTATCATGCCCTGTATTACCTATCATGCCCTGTATTACCTCTAATGCCCTGTACTACCTCTAATGTCCTGTTCTACCTCTAATGCCCTGTATTACCTATCATGCCTTGTATTACCTCTAATGCCCTGTATTTCCTATCAATGGAAATCAATTCACGAAGCGTAGAGTAGAGCAGCTTTGATTTTATTGTAAAAAACACGCAAACAAATCAATCACAGGACCAAAAGCCAAATTTGACATGATTGAAACAAGCTCAAATAAGTAGACAATGCATGCGATGACAGGAAATTGCGTCTGTTTCCTGATATGAACTAATTTGGGGCGTTTATTTTACATGAAGCTATACCTTTGAAACATATGATCATCGTTGATTGCTGTATGTACAAGCACCGTTGTCATGAACACCACATGTAAAAACATAGACCATCTAGAATATATATACATAAGACAAAATGTATCAGATAACAAAAGGTTTCTTGCTTTAATAAGGAGGGGAACGATCAATCAAGCAGGTCACCATCAGCAGTGTTGTGTACTGACCAATGCTGACCATAATACTAATTTGTTCGGCTATGCACTGCGGCCGCTGGACAATAGAATTCATGGAGTGTGATGGGTTTGATGGATACATACTAAATACAATTTTGCATCCTTCAAGGTAAAAGAATAGCGATATAAAAGAGTGGTGCAAAACTCTGCAAACGTACACAGTCTTATATTTAGTTTATGTGTGCGTATTAAGCACCCTGAACATGATTCACATGTATGTCTACCTAAAGTAAACATAACATGCACGAGTGTTGGCTGCTGGAACCAATGTGAATTTATAGTGTTTTTAAGGGAAAGTCCGTTGATGTTTTGGAGGTGGAGGAGGAGGGGTCGGGGACAGAGGCTTGTTTCATTGTTTAACAAATACTGGAGGCACTATTTGACCGCAGAGTTTACATTTAAATTATAACTGTTCACCAGACACGTGGGATTTCCTGAAACAAATGTTTTGTGGTTCCTAACAAGATTATCCTAACAAAGCAATGCCTTGATCTACTGTTACCTGTAATGTGTGTTCGGTCCTGGTGCAGGCATACCTTTTCTTAAATCTAAGGTTAATACATTGGCTTACCTCCGAGACGTCTTACACAGCCGCATAAAATATTGATATCCTGGCGTGAGATAAGAAAGTACCTCCCCAAGTGATGACACTATTTTCAAAGCAACGTCATCGTCTTTGGAAGCCGTTATTGAAGACGTCGTCAGAAGGTATATCTCTCCTGAAGAAACACAGAATGCATATGCTATGATCAATCTGGACGAAAACCTATCAACACGGTTATAGCAATATACATGTAGGCGATCGTTTTGATTTAAGGATAGACTTAACCCTCGCAATGTCACCTTGTTCATCTTGACCAAAGGTCAGTAGGAAGTCTCTGGGTCGCTCCCTGGTGTCACACGGACACTGATTTCCATCACAAACCGGAAGCATCTCATCCTAGTGTCACTGGCATATACCCTTTCAGGTGACTAATGTGACTTTCAAATGGCACGGGTAGTCTGGAGGCATAATGCATCGGAATTCATGTGTGCTGATTTTCATCTGTTATCTGTTTCTAGTATCCTCTGGTCTTTGGTTTAGATCTAAGCGTCGCCCAAACTATGATATTTGGTCTTTTGGCACTGAAGTGGTAAATGTCGAAGACATGAGTAAATATTCATTTTATCCTGTTTGAATAAGTTAACATTACTAAATATTGTTCAGACGGCATCAACTCACTCAGCCAATCATTAACCTCAAGTCTTGTGGTATCAGTCTGAAAACCCAACAACATCTTAGGCAGTTTGATTTTATTGCCAATTAACGTTAATTCTTAAGTTAACAGATTAACTTCCGGCCTCTGTGGGGGCATAGATGACCCAGTTATCTAAGGCACTGTAATTCGCTGTGCAGAGGTGCATTCCTTGGACAACTTGGCTGAAAGATCTGATGTTTCTTGGGATGTCAGCACCATACCGGTGCTCATGAGTTTAACCAAAGAGGTAAATGTCTAAGACAAGATTCACTTATGACATAACTCCGACATTAAGCTGACACAGAGTTGTATAACTCAATCACAAACTCAATCACTACACTCTGTACATATCTGCATGTACTCACCCGGTCATGGCGTCTCCGTACAGATAGCGCCCGTACAAGTCAAGAAGATTCCTGCCTCTGTACACATATCCCCCGACGACAGCATGGAAGAGGTTGGTGTGCATGTACATGTAGATCGGCAGCGCTTCGTTCTCTGTAACCACATTCAGGATGAAGTCTACAGAAGACACTCTTTGTTTCCAAACAGTAGTAGGATCACCCATCACCCCGAAGGAAATAAGAAACCAACCTACCCGACCCCACCACACACCAGTCTACCCCACACCTCACCTCAACATCACACAGAAAGGAGTAATGATATTTGTGTCATCCATATCAATCAAAAGAAAATTCCAAAGAAATCATCTCCCTTCCATCCTCTCAAAATTTGCTATGGAAACTCATCGATTTCTGGCTATCTGACTGACGTGAGGGAAATTAAAATTTTGATTACTAATATAAGAACGTTTTTGATCCCTTGTGGATGGTCCAGACAAATTATTCTCATGAAATGCAAATGAATTTTCGAGACATGTTGGTGCCATATTGGGAGGAAACACCCCTACCCTCCACACTGTCGTGGTCAGCGTGGTCACATTTGGTCAGCAGACGGTGTCCCAGGTCCGGTTCAACAGCTACACCAACAAGATGGAGCTGTTCACATCCATCCACAGTCTCCAGCCTCGGAGAGGGCCTGCTGATCTCGCAACAGTTCTGCATGATGTGGGCTCCGTGTTTGCAGGTGCCCGCGGAGGAAGACCTGAAGCCAAGAAGGTCGCAGTCCTTGTCATGGCGCAGATGATAACACGCGTCATCAGTACTGGTGAGGACACTCAGGTTATCCTGCTGGATATTGGTGCCAAGAGAAAGTATTCTCCATCCAAGTTTCTTAAGAAATCTGATATTTATATACCGACAACAGGGGCACGTGATCTGGCGAGGTACAGCCGAGACCTGCGTGGCATTGTATGCAGCAATGAACCATGAATAGGGACCATACTCACAAATATAGCCTAATTAATACGTTGCAAGAATAAGCCATATATATCGTGTGCTCATGGATAGCTGTCTGTCATGTTAGGTAACAGTAGAGAGTGTTGTCAGTGGCAGTAAATGATTGAAGGGCTAGTAAAATGCTAGGACATGCTTGATCGTTCTCTAGTTTTGGGATGGGAACGCTTCTGGGAGGCAGACTGTACCTAAACAGAGCGAAAGGAGGGCGATTCGAGGCATTTTCTACTTGTGCCAGTGCCTGAAAACACCGAATTCCAGCCTCTTATTATTTGGTGGTATAATGATATGTGAGGGAGTGAGTTAAAATTTTTCATCGCATCGGCAATATTGCGGCCCTATTGCGATTATAATGAAATGTTGTCTTGCCTTCTGACGGCATGTCTAAATTCTTGTTTTACAGGTAAGATTATATTTAATGAGTATCCCACCATATACTGTAGAATCAGTGGTAGTAATATATGTATCACGAAGCTATGCCCTTTGCGTTTTGCTTTGGTAAACACAATTATTGAGCTTGTTGATGAATTACACCTTAGGTGCCACCCTTAGGCATATGTATGTACAATATCAAAGGGACCTTTGCAAGCCTCTCGGTGATGCGCCCACAAGAGTAGAAACGTTACCATGCACGACTGTAGGAATATCCATACTTATGCACGAAAGCAACATTGTGTTTGTCCGAGGGCTGCAATTAGATCATTGATAAAACAAGAAAAAACAAGCAGAGATAACACCTTGTTGAATCGTTTATCTGTCTGGTTGTACCCCCTAGTAAGAAATATAATCCTAAGTATCTGTACAACAAAGCAGTTGCCCTGTTTTACCTCTGGGGGTACGGGTGTCCCAGTCTAAGGCGCCGCGATTCGCCAGAAACCTAAGGTTCGTCAGCACCATACCCGTGCTCGTGAGTTTTACCGAGGTGGTAAACATCTAACATCTGCATCTCTTCGGAATTTCCTCCCACATTAAGCTGACAGGCCGTGATATAACTGAAATACTCACTCACTCACTCACTAACTCACCCAAAACCCAACTCACTCACTGTTTACGTTTCATGCCCTGTATTACCTCTAATGCCCTGTATTACCTATCATGCCCTGTATTACCTCTAATGCCCTGTACTACCTCTAATCTCCTGTATTACCTATCATGCCCTGTATTACCTCTAATGCCCTGTATTACCGATCATGCCCTGTATTACCTCTAATGCCCTGTACTACCTCTAATGCCCTGTATTTCCTATCATGCCCTGTATTACCTCTAATGCCCTGTATTTCCTCTAATGCGATGTATTACCTTTCATGCCCTGTATTACCTATCATGCCCTGTATTACCTCTAATGCCCTGTATTTCCTCTAATGCGCTACTACCTCTAATGCCCTGTATTACCTATCATGCCCTGTATTACCTATCATGCCCTGTATTACCTCTAATGCCCTGTACTACCTCTAATGTCCTGTTCTACCTCTAATGCCCTGTATTACCTATCATGCCTTGTATTACCTCTAATGCCCTGTATTTCCTATCAATGGAAATCAATTCACGAAGCGTAGAGTAGAGCAGCTTTGATTTTATTGTAAAAAACACGCAAACAAATCAATCACAGGACCAAAAGCCAAATTTGACATGATTGAAACAAGCTCAAATAAGTAGACAATGCATGCGATGACAGGAAATTGCGTCTGTTTCCTGATATGAACTAATTTGGGGCGTTTATTTTACATGAAGCTATACCTTTGAAACATATGATCATCGTTGATTGCTGTATGTACAAGCACCGTTGTCATGAACACCACATGTAAAAACATAGACCATCTAGAATATATATACATAAGACAAAATGTATCAGATAACAAAAGGTTTCTTGCTTTAATAAGGAGGGGAACGATCAATCAAGCAGGTCACCATCAGCAGTGTTGTGTACTGACCAATGCTGACCATAATACTAATTTGTTCGGCTATGCACTGCGGCCGCTGGACAATAGAATTCATGGAGTGTGATGGGTTTGATGGATACATACTAAATACAATTTTGCATCCTTCAAGGTAAAAGAATAGCGATATAAAAGAGTGGTGCAAAACTCTGCAAACGTACACAGTCTTATATTTAGTTTATGTGTGCGTATTAAGCACCCTGAACATGATTCACATGTATGTCTACCTAAAGTAAACATAACATGCACGAGTGTTGGCTGCTGGAACCAATGTGAATTTATAGTGTTTTTAAGGGAAAGTCCGTTGATGTTTTGGAGGTGGAGGAGGAGGGGTCGGGGACAGAGGCTTGTTTCATTGTTTAACAAATACTGGAGGCACTATTTGACCGCAGAGTTTACATTTAAATTATAACTGTTCACCAGACACGTGGGATTTCCTGAAACAAATGTTTTGTGGTTCCTAACAAGATTATCCTAACAAAGCAATGCCTTGATCTACTGTTACCTGTAATGTGTGTTCGGTCCTGGTGCAGGCATACCTTTTCTTAAATCTAAGGTTAATACATTGGCTTACCTCCGAGACGTCTTACACAGCCGCATAAAATATTGATATCCTGGCGTGAGATAAGAAAGTACCTCCCCAAGTGATGACACTATTTTCAAAGCAACGTCATCGTCTTTGGAAGCCGTTATTGAAGACGTCGTCAGAAGGTATATCTCTCCTGAAGAAACACAGAATGCATATGCTATGATCAATCTGGACGAAAACCTATCAACACGGTTATAGCAATATACATGTAGGCGATCGTTTTGATTTAAGGATAGACTTAACCCTCGCAATGTCACCTTGTTCATCTTGACCAAAGGTCAGTAGGAAGTCTCTGGGTCGCTCCCTGGTGTCACACGGACACTGATTTCCATCACAAACCGGAAGCATCTCATCCTAGTGTCACTGGCATATACCCTTTCAGGTGACTAATGTGACTTTCAAATGGCACGGGTAGTCTGGAGGCATAATGCATCGGAATTCATGTGTGCTGATTTTCATCTGTTATCTGTTTCTAGTATCCTCTGGTCTTTGGTTTAGATCTAAGCGTCGCCCAAACTATGATATTTGGTCTTTTGGCACTGAAGTGGTAAATGTCGAAGACATGAGTAAATATTCATTTTATCCTGTTTGAATAAGTTAACATTACTAAATATTGTTCAGACGGCATCAACTCACTCAGCCAATCATTAACCTCAAGTCTTGTGGTATCAGTCTGAAAACCCAACAACATCTTAGGCAGTTTGATTTTATTGCCAATTAACGTTAATTCTTAAGTTAACAGATTAACTTCCGGCCTCTGTGGGGGCATAGATGACCCAGTTATCTAAGGCACTGTAATTCGCTGTGCAGAGGTGCATTCCTTGGACAACTTGGCTGAAAGATCTGATGTTTCTTGGGATGTCAGCACCATACCGGTGCTCATGAGTTTAACCAAAGAGGTAAATGTCTAAGACAAGATTCACTTATGACATAACTCCGACATTAAGCTGACACAGAGTTGTATAACTCAATCACAAACTCAATCACTACACTCTGTACATATCTGCATGTACTCACCCGGTCATGGCGTCTCCGTACAGATAGCGCCCGTACAAGTCAAGAAGATTCCTGCCTCTGTACACATATCCCCCGACGACAGCATGGAAGAGGTTGGTGTGCATGTACATGTAGATCGGCAGCGCTTCGTTCTCTGTAACCACATTCAGGATGAAGTCTACAGAAGACACTCTTTGTTTCCAAACAGTAGTAGGATCACCCATCACCCCGAAGGAAATAAGAAACCAACCTACCCGACCCCACCACACACCAGTCTACCCCACACCTCACCTCAACATCACACAGAAAGGAGTAATGATATTTGTGTCATCCATATCAATCAAAAGAAAATTCCAAAGAAATCATCTCCCTTCCATCCTCTCAAAATTTGCTATGGAAACTCATCGATTTCTGGCTATCTGACTGACGTGAGGGAAATTAAAATTTTGATTACTAATATAAGAACGTTTTTGATCCCTTGTGGATGGTCCAGACAAATTATTCTCATGAAATGCAAATGAATTTTCGAGACATGTTGGTGCCATATTGGGAGGAAACACCCCTACCCTCCACACTGTCGTGGTCAGCGTGGTCACATTTGGTCAGCAGACGGTGTCCCAGGTCCGGTTCAACAGCTACACCAACAAGATGGAGCTGTTCACATCCATCCACAGTCTCCAGCCTCGGAGAGGGCCTGCTGATCTCGCAACAGTTCTGCATGATGTGGGCTCCGTGTTTGCAGGTGCCCGCGGAGGAAGACCTGAAGCCAAGAAGGTCGCAGTCCTTGTCATGGCGCAGATGATAACACGCGTCATCAGTACTGGTGAGGACACTCAGGTTATCCTGCTGGATATTGGTGCCAAGAGAAAGTATTCTCCATCCAAGTTTCTTAAGAAATCTGATATTTATATACCGACAACAGGGGCACGTGATCTGGCGAGGTACAGCCGAGACCTGCGTGGCATTGTATGCAGCAATGAACCATGAATAGGGACCATACTCACAAATATAGCCTAATTAATACGTTGCAAGAATAAGCCATATATATCGTGTGCTCATGGATAGCTGTCTGTCATGTTAGGTAACAGTAGAGAGTGTTGTCAGTGGCAGTAAATGATTGAAGGGCTAGTAAAATGCTAGGACATGCTTGATCGTTCTCTAGTTTTGGGATGGGAACGCTTCTGGGAGGCAGACTGTACCTAAACAGAGCGAAAGGAGGGCGATTCGAGGCATTTTCTACTTGTGCCAGTGCCTGAAAACACCGAATTCCAGCCTCTTATTATTTGGTGGTATAATGATATGTGAGGGAGTGAGTTAAAATTTTTCATCGCATCGGCAATATTGCGGCCCTATTGCGATTATAATGAAATGTTGTCTTGCCTTCTGACGGCATGTCTAAATTCTTGTTTTACAGGTAAGATTATATTTAATGAGTATCCCACCATATACTGTAGAATCAGTGGTAGTAATATATGTATCACGAAGCTATGCCCTTTGCGTTTTGCTTTGGTAAACACAATTATTGAGCTTGTTGATGAATTACACCTTAGGTGCCACCCTTAGGCATATGTATGTACAATATCAAAGGGACCTTTGCAAGCCTCTCGGTGATGCGCCCACAAGAGTAGAAACGTTACCATGCACGACTGTAGGAATATCCATACTTATGCACGAAAGCAACATTGTGTTTGTCCGAGGGCTGCAATTAGATCATTGATAAAACAAGAAAAAACAAGCAGAGATAACACCTTGTTGAATCGTTTATCTGTCTGGTTGTACCCCCTAGTAAGAAATATAATCCTAAGTATCTGTACAACAAAGCAGTTGCCCTGTTTTACCTCTGGGGGTACGGGTGTCCCAGTCTAAGGCGCCGCGATTCGCCAGAAACCTAAGGTTCGTCAGCACCATACCCGTGCTCGTGAGTTTTACCGAGGTGGTAAACATCTAACATCTGCATCTCTTCGGAATTTCCTCCCACATTAAGCTGACAGGCCGTGATATAACTGAAATACTCACTCACTCACTCACTAACTCACCCAAAACCCAACTCACTCACTGTTTACGTTTCATGCCCTGTATTACCTCTAATGCCCTGTATTACCTATCATGCCCTGTATTACCTCTAATGCCCTGTACTACCTCTAATCTCCTGTATTACCTATCATGCCCTGTATTACCTCTAATGCCCTGTATTACCGATCATGCCCTGTATTACCTCTAATGCCCTGTACTACCTCTAATGCCCTGTATTTCCTATCATGCCCTGTATTACCTCTAATGCCCTGTATTTCCTCTAATGCGATGTATTACCTTTCATGCCCTGTATTACCTATCATGCCCTGTATTACCTCTAATGCCCTGTATTTCCTCTAATGCGCTACTACCTCTAATGCCCTGTATTACCTATCATGCCCTGTATTACCTATCATGCCCTGTATTACCTCTAATGCCCTGTACTACCTCTAATGTCCTGTTCTACCTCTAATGCCCTGTATTACCTATCATGCCTTGTATTACCTCTAATGCCCTGTATTTCCTATCAATGGAAATCAATTCACGAAGCGTAGAGTAGAGCAGCTTTGATTTTATTGTAAAAAACACGCAAACAAATCAATCACAGGACCAAAAGCCAAATTTGACATGATTGAAACAAGCTCAAATAAGTAGACAATGCATGCGATGACAGGAAATTGCGTCTGTTTCCTGATATGAACTAATTTGGGGCGTTTATTTTACATGAAGCTATACCTTTGAAACATATGATCATCGTTGATTGCTGTATGTACAAGCACCGTTGTCATGAACACCACATGTAAAAACATAGACCATCTAGAATATATATACATAAGACAAAATGTATCAGATAACAAAAGGTTTCTTGCTTTAATAAGGAGGGGAACGATCAATCAAGCAGGTCACCATCAGCAGTGTTGTGTACTGACCAATGCTGACCATAATACTAATTTGTTCGGCTATGCACTGCGGCCGCTGGACAATAGAATTCATGGAGTGTGATGGGTTTGATGGATACATACTAAATACAATTTTGCATCCTTCAAGGTAAAAGAATAGCGATATAAAAGAGTGGTGCAAAACTCTGCAAACGTACACAGTCTTATATTTAGTTTATGTGTGCGTATTAAGCACCCTGAACATGATTCACATGTATGTCTACCTAAAGTAAACATAACATGCACGAGTGTTGGCTGCTGGAACCAATGTGAATTTATAGTGTTTTTAAGGGAAAGTCCGTTGATGTTTTGGAGGTGGAGGAGGAGGGGTCGGGGACAGAGGCTTGTTTCATTGTTTAACAAATACTGGAGGCACTATTTGACCGCAGAGTTTACATTTAAATTATAACTGTTCACCAGACACGTGGGATTTCCTGAAACAAATGTTTTGTGGTTCCTAACAAGATTATCCTAACAAAGCAATGCCTTGATCTACTGTTACCTGTAATGTGTGTTCGGTCCTGGTGCAGGCATACCTTTTCTTAAATCTAAGGTTAATACATTGGCTTACCTCCGAGACGTCTTACACAGCCGCATAAAATATTGATATCCTGGCGTGAGATAAGAAAGTACCTCCCCAAGTGATGACACTATTTTCAAAGCAACGTCATCGTCTTTGGAAGCCGTTATTGAAGACGTCGTCAGAAGGTATATCTCTCCTGAAGAAACACAGAATGCATATGCTATGATCAATCTGGACGAAAACCTATCAACACGGTTATAGCAATATACATGTAGGCGATCGTTTTGATTTAAGGATAGACTTAACCCTCGCAATGTCACCTTGTTCATCTTGACCAAAGGTCAGTAGGAAGTCTCTGGGTCGCTCCCTGGTGTCACACGGACACTGATTTCCATCACAAACCGGAAGCATCTCATCCTAGTGTCACTGGCATATACCCTTTCAGGTGACTAATGTGACTTTCAAATGGCACGGGTAGTCTGGAGGCATAATGCATCGGAATTCATGTGTGCTGATTTTCATCTGTTATCTGTTTCTAGTATCCTCTGGTCTTTGGTTTAGATCTAAGCGTCGCCCAAACTATGATATTTGGTCTTTTGGCACTGAAGTGGTAAATGTCGAAGACATGAGTAAATATTCATTTTATCCTGTTTGAATAAGTTAACATTACTAAATATTGTTCAGACGGCATCAACTCACTCAGCCAATCATTAACCTCAAGTCTTGTGGTATCAGTCTGAAAACCCAACAACATCTTAGGCAGTTTGATTTTATTGCCAATTAACGTTAATTCTTAAGTTAACAGATTAACTTCCGGCCTCTGTGGGGGCATAGATGACCCAGTTATCTAAGGCACTGTAATTCGCTGTGCAGAGGTGCATTCCTTGGACAACTTGGCTGAAAGATCTGATGTTTCTTGGGATGTCAGCACCATACCGGTGCTCATGAGTTTAACCAAAGAGGTAAATGTCTAAGACAAGATTCACTTATGACATAACTCCGACATTAAGCTGACACAGAGTTGTATAACTCAATCACAAACTCAATCACTACACTCTGTACATATCTGCATGTACTCACCCGGTCATGGCGTCTCCGTACAGATAGCGCCCGTACAAGTCAAGAAGATTCCTGCCTCTGTACACATATCCCCCGACGACAGCATGGAAGAGGTTGGTGTGCATGTACATGTAGATCGGCAGCGCTTCGTTCTCTGTAACCACATTCAGGATGAAGTCTACAGAAGACACTCTTTGTTTCCAAACAGTAGTAGGATCACCCATCACCCCGAAGGAAATAAGAAACCAACCTACCCGACCCCACCACACACCAGTCTACCCCACACCTCACCTCAACATCACACAGAAAGGAGTAATGATATTTGTGTCATCCATATCAATCAAAAGAAAATTCCAAAGAAATCATCTCCCTTCCATCCTCTCAAAATTTGCTATGGAAACTCATCGATTTCTGGCTATCTGACTGACGTGAGGGAAATTAAAATTTTGATTACTAATATAAGAACGTTTTTGATCCCTTGTGGATGGTCCAGACAAATTATTCTCATGAAATGCAAATGAATTTTCGAGACATGTTGGTGCCATATTGGGAGGAAACACCCCTACCCTCCCTCTTATATTATCATGCCGGACTTTTCTGTGGCTTTGTATTTTACCACAAGTCCTTGACCACATTTGCAGAAATATAACGAGGCGTTACGAGCGCATCAGAAGTAACACAATGGAATAAATTATTTCTTTATGCCTTTACCTTTCTTCATGCTAAATAAGGAATTAGTAAATGATCAAACCTTTCATATCCCAACCTGTACATATTGCCTGATTTTGAAGCAATGCTTAGAGTAGATGACCGCCAGGCAATGGCACATATTACAGGGTTACATTGTGAATGTATTAGCAGGTGGTGGTGGAACGTACCAAGCCGAGGAACACGGAAAGGGGGATATGATCATATCTGCTGGGAGTAGACGATCAGATCTAGAGGGTTTTCATGGTTGGTGTGATGTGATGGTGGCACTAGGACGTTGATTAGGTCAGGGGCATATTCGAAATTTTGCAGCCAACGTCACTAATATCGGATAAAACCACCTCTGTTTGCCAGACATGCACGATTCCTTGGAGGCATGCTTCTAACAGAGTGCTTGCCATGGCATGATTCCTGTTGGAGGAATTGGGTCACAATTCTGGCACGATGAACACGTTCACTGTCACCTTAAGAGATGAAACGTTGCCCAACACGAGTGGCGCAATGGTGTCCCGATAGTATTGACCTGCAATATGGAGCGCAGTTCGGACAGTCATTGTGATACCACCCCCAAAACGTTAACGTCCATAAACCGTTCATTAGGACGTCTCCAAACTCGATTCCTTCGGTCACGGAAGTCAGGATAAACTCGATTCGTTAGGGAAAATGACATTGGCCCAACATCGATTATCCCATTGCTGATGTTCCCTACACCACTGACGCCTCTGATTGGGATGACACATTGACGTCATGCACGAAATGTCATCTGTGCAGGCGATTTCGCACCGTCTGTGCATGGACTCTCGATTATCTGACAGGCAGTTTGCAATCCATTTCGTAATCACATCGTTCTCTCTAATCTGTCCTGGGCTTGTGTTGTTGCCATTGGGCGTCCAGAGCAGCGTCGATCATTGTTGTATTCTTCTGATTACAGACTGAGAAATATGCAGTGTTTGGGCAACAATATTCTGACATGTGCCCACCTGCAGCATGCCTGTGACACGGAGACGTTCAGCACGTTGCTGACGTTGCATGATCAATGCTGTTGCTTCCTAAATGATAACATGTGCTTAATAACGTGTCTTTGGGCGTTTGGTTCCATGAAAACAATATGGGTCTGCTAACAACCGAGTCTGAGTGACAATGGTAAATCTGGCATACCACCCCTAGCACGTGCTGTCTGAGATCTCGTGCTTCATTACATGTCATGTTTGGGAGCTTTGTTCTTGCCACATAAATCAGTCGCTTGCATTGCCAGACATTGATGTATTTTCCTGTAGTTTCACCTCAAACAAAACATCCCCTACTTGTTTTGCATAGTATATATCCAAGAAGAATAAAGGTGTATTTATATATGAAATTGCCAATAATTTCATACATCACCTGGACTAGGAATGTCTATATTTTCAGTCTATGCCATAGTTAAGCATGGCAATCAGCTGTATGCAGTGTACAAACAATGTTGGCCATCATCTGACTGAAACATGAGGAGTTTGTCTCAAACTTTTCAGATATTATCTATGACGTGGCCTGGGACAACCGATCCTCTGCTCCCCAGGCAGACTGTATACACTAGACCAAGGAGGCAGCCTCGTGAAGGGTGAGAGAGGCGAAGGCTACCTACCTACTGTTCCATTGCTGCACTTTAAGCTGTCAAAGCACTCGTTCCACTCCTTGATGTTCCTCCCACTGCGGATGAGATTGATCTCTTCATAAGCTCGCTCTTCTGGATCGCCACAGAATATACGCCGCTCACCTGCGAGAAGTGAAGTGACATAAAGTTTATTAAGAAAGAGAACCACCAGATAACCTGTACATCACTGACAGCCCCAGGGTAGACTGGGTGCAGGGCCACTCCCCTGTATATAACTGACACACCCGGGGAAATCTAGGGCACAGGTCCACTCCCCCGTAAAAGACTAACACCTCCACGGAATGCTAGGGCACAGGTCCACTCCCCTCTAAAAGACTAACACCTCCACGGAATGCTAGCGCACAGGTCCACTCCCCCGTAAAAGACTAACACCTCCACGGAATGCTAGCGCACAGGTCCACTCCCCTCTAAAAGACTAACACCTCCACGGAATGCTAGCGCACGGGTTCACTCCCCCGTAAAAGACTAACACCTCCACGGAATGCTAGGGCACAGTTCCACTCCCCTCTAAAAGACTGACACCTCCATGGAATGCTAGGGCACAGTTCCACTTCCCTCTAAAAGACTAACACCTCCATGGAATGCTAGGGTACACGTCGACGTCCCTGTATATCGCTGACACACACGGTAAAACCTAGGGTGCAAGTCCACTCCCCTCTACAACACTGACACATATGGGGAAAGCTAGGGTGCAAGTCCAGATCCTCTTTATCACTGGCACCCCGGGAAAAAGCTGGGGTAGAGGTCCACATCCCATGATATCACTGACACACCGGAGGAAACATTGGGCACAAGACCGCTCCCCTCTACATCACTGGCACTACCCAGGAAAGCTTGGGTATAGGTCCACATGACTGTATAACACTGACACATCGGGGAAAGCCTGGGTGCAGATCCATGTCCCCTGTTCCTGCTTCAGTGAGTGAGTGAGGTAATGCTTTACGTCACATCGGCAATATTTCAGCCATATCGTGACGAATCCTGCTTCAGAGATTCAAAAGATTGACACAAGCCTTTATGACAAGGGGAATTACTTCAACTTTCCAATGGTCAACTTTTCCTTCATGTCGAGCAATATTCATGCAGCTCCAGCTTTTGGTGTATACATTTCACATCTTTGGAAGTACAATCGAGCACGCTATTTCTACCTAGATTTCAAAGAGCATCATATGACTCTTGCTCCAAAGTTGTTTGATCAATGTTACAACAATCAAGGCCCCTTCCTAAAGTTTTATGGTACATAAGTGGAGATTGGTCCAGGTGAACAATTGACTTGCCTATGCATATGTTCTTTTGGATATCACCGATGGGATAAGATACGCTCACCTTTTTCGCGAATATCTGGTATCATCACTATTTGATAGTGATTCAAAGACACATGCTCATGATATACAATCGACTCTGCTTTACGCTTTGAATTTGCAAAGGGTTTTGTTGCTACTATTTGAGTACAGCGATATCATGGCACATGTCATAACAGTGGTGTAGCTTATATATCATGATACATGTCATAGATCTGGCAGATGACATTGTGCCACATGTCATAACACTGGTGTAGCAATGTGTTGGTGCAGGACAGGATACCGCGGGCTCTATGGAGCTTTGTAGTTCTGTTGAATGGATGTGGTCATATGAGGAACAGCTGTAAGCTATAGTATTTATGTATAAATAGTATTCATCTCTGAATATAAGTGATAATTTAATTCTATCATCACAACTATCACCATGGCTCCTTCACCGGCGGTGGCAGTGATCAGGTAACATCTTGTTGCCAATGACACATTGTCAGTTCATGATATCCACATGAATCTTTAGGCACCTCGATAAATGAGTATGAGGAATGGGTTTTTGGACAGATATGCTGCTAATTATATCTTCATCATAGGTACTTCATACATAGTTGAGCAGGCTGCTTATTTTCTGCATTCTATTCCAGAATCCCCATTTTCTGTACTACAAAGGCATAATAGGATGGTAACAACCCATGACGTATCATTGTGTGAGCAAATGTTGTTTGGTCAGCAGTATTCCAGCTATGTAACGGTGCCTGTACATAATCGTGTCAATCCAGTAATTGATAGCATCGCATCCAGGTTACTAATTGTAACCATTGGCTCCACGTTGGTCTTTAGGCGTTTCAATCCTGTGGCACCAATTCTGTCTGGAACACAGTGTGTATTGTGTAAATATTGCTCACAATTGAAGAAAAAAGAGTAATTTTTAAAGAGCATTCCTAAAACTTGATAATGCAGATTCATCTTATTCACGTGGGTTCCTACTAAGTGACTCTTCACACAAAAGGATGGCCGAGTCGTCTAAGGCGCCGCAATTCGCTGAGCAGAGTTGCGCCCCTTGGGCACGCCAGAAACCTATGATTATGAGTTCGAAACCCGGTTCGCCACAATTATGTTTCTAGGTTTGTCAGGACCATACCCGTGCTCGTGGGTTTCACTGAGGTGGTAAACGTCTGAGGCCTGCATCACTTCGTGCTTTCCTCCCACATTAAGCTGTCACCACGCGATATAACTGTAATACTGTGAAAAGCAGCGTTAAACCCAACTCACTCACTCACCTCACACAACACTCACCATTTCTGTTAGCAACTGTGTCTTGGCTACATCGCCACATATTACGACATCCGTATGCAAACACCTCCTGTCTCCATGGTTTCTTGTCCAAAAACGGATTGCTTGCGGGAATGCCGTACCGGAGTGCTGAGCCGCCCACAAACCCGGTTCAACCACATCAACTCTCAATATCTTCCCGAGAAGGCTGGTTCTGTATGGGAGAGTGAGCTGGGTTTAGTGCCTTTCAACAACATTTCACTTACATCTCACAGAATTTAGTTGTAGGTCTTGTACGGCTGTTGTGAGTCTATGTTAAAGAATACTTGTTCCGATCGGCTTAGTGTTTTAACTGTGGCATGTCTATGTTAAAAGTATACGTTATTACCAGTTTAGTAAAACCAATGCACGAGTATGGTGCTGACACAGATAGAAACATAAACAGGGCGAACCGGGATTCGAACTAGCGAGCAGAGGCTTCTTGTACGCCCAAGGAACTCAACTCTGTACAACGACTTTCAGGGCCTCGTTCCGATCTCAGCACTAAGACTGTTATAAGTCTATGTTAAAGACTACACGCTACGATTGCAAAAAATACGAGTTTAGATTGTCTTATCGCTGTGATTGTCATAAGTCTGTGCGAAAGAATATGAGTTGTAACCGTCTTTGCACTACGACTGTCGTTACTCCAATACGAGCATACAATTATCTTTGTGGAAGCGGTTTTCGACCCTTGTTCAGCAAGTTATAAAGAAGCACTTTCCCATCGACTTACAAAGTACAAGAGATAGAAATGATTTGAGAATAGGGGCCCTAACCAGAAAGAACCTAAAGGGAACTCGTACTTTTGTCATTTCTTGCAAAGTCACGCAAAATATGTATTATTCTATTATCATATGTATCAATCTTTCAGCAGGTGTTTCCTCTAATTACACAGAGAATGTGTCTCAGTTTGCACCAGTCAATACTGACGTCCAGACAAGGTCCTTTACGCAGATAGATGTAGTAGAAGTTTGGAAGACAATATGATATTTTGGAAACGCCAAGTTCTCCTGTTTAATTGAAAGTTATTACCTGTGTTTTAAAAAATGTGAACATGCAATAGTCAACATACTTGTGCATGGTCCGAACAGCAAGTAGCTATTGAATTGCTGAAAAGTGAAGAGAAAATGTCCAAAACTAAAATGAAAATGTCAAAAACACAAATAAAAATGTCAAACACAAAAGCGAAAATGTCAAAAACTAAAATGAAAATACAGAAAACTATTTCCATCGCGGTGTAAATATTTTCACTGTGGTGGAATTATTATCACCGCGGTAGAAATATTATCAACGCGGTGGAAATAGTTGTGTAGGGGAGATCACAGGACAACTGAAATGCCCAAAGACGAGGACTGATTAAATAATTGCAGTAACGTGCTTATCAATGTCCGTCCTTATGTCACGTCTAGGCTGCCAGTATGTTATCAGTGGTGTCATCGCTTGAAGTGCGTTCTCCTGGGGAACCTGAGGTTATACTCTGTCACCGGAGTCGGGGTACGTGCGATCAGCTTATCTCAGGCCAAAATATCTATTCTACAGCTGTCGGGTGTCTTTATATTGAGTAAATGTATTGGATTTTACCCTGCGTTTTACTATTGTGTAATACTCTTAAGACTCCGAGTGCGATGTTGGTAGTGTATCTACACTATCAAAAGGTGTTTAGAATATAACCACATACAAGATATGTTCAGATTTTAACCTGTTTAGGAATGTTTTAAAATCCTAAACTGAAAACACATTAGGTGTGTATAAAGGCACATAAAAGGCCTGAACGGCGTCTAAAAACACATGTTTATGACAAAAAGCATATATTTGGGCATAAAGTCAAATATCGATAAAATGTATAATACGCACTGACATTAGATTTTAATAGAAATCAAATCAACATATCAAGTTCATAATTATTTTTCAATGTTATTGTACAAGAGAATATTTGGCTGAGGTTAATGTTTTATTTGGCTGTTTTGATTATGAATACGGAAGTTATTATGTGGCTTGAATTTAGCTGAAGCTTTGTTGCAGTGACATGAGCATAATACGAAAATATTAACAAACAAATTCTGATGCATACAAATAGTTACATTGCAACAGAAACAAATATATGTACACAGTCGATTTCACAACTATTTAATATGCAGTTACTTCAGAGAAATCTCAAGAGCAAAACAATAATTTGTAGACCTATATAATTTCAATGTAGACTTTCCGACATTGTGCTGATTGTGTTCGCTGCTCCCACCAAACTTTCTAATCCTGAATATTGTCATTGTATTCCCAATGTTCTGTTGGATAGTCTCAGCACAGTCAGAAACAAAGCTAAAACTGGTGAAAAATCTTGCTTTGGCACAAATTTAATAGAATATATACCCTTGACAAAACTGGGATTAAGTCTCGACACTCTCAGACCCTAAACACACGTTTAGATGTTAAACACAACCATAAACATGTTTAGCAACGGATGAGTGTCTTAAAAAACTGAACGTACACATGACGGATAACGGGCAAGAAGTAGCCGTGAAACAGTGTGTGTGTATAAGAAAGAAGCGTCCTTGTCGAGGCGGAGACATTTTGTAAAGTGGAGTCTGTAAATAACCAACCAAACAGCCAGTGGGGATTCTGGGTCAGAACAGGGCCCTAGAACCTCATGTTGTAAGGGACAACTAACTGGGTTCTGGTGGTTAGGGTTTGTGACTTGATTGAATGTACGAATCAAAGAAATAATAATGAAACAGTTATAGGCTTACAATCATAATGAAGATTACGGTTGGTCCTATAATCAACAGCAACAATATATAACAGGCCCTGTAATAAATGTCAGTGCACTCACGAATGACTAGAATTTGTCACTGTCAAATGTCTTAGGGCTTCCAAACAGTTTTATGGTGCACATGTGGGAGACATTTCAGAATTTGAAGCAAATCTTTTCTAACATTCCACGTTCCCTCTTTTAAAATATAAATCAAACAGATTGAGAATGTTGAATATGTAGAGCCAAAAGGACATGGCAATGTCATAAGAAAAGGACACGACAAGGAGAATCTGTTTTTAGTGCTGATTCCCCTTTGGCAAATAGTTCAAGGCCATCCACGCTGAGGTGGTCAAGGATGATAACCTTCCTCTTTGCTAAGCAACAAGCTTAATGGATTTAGTGACAAACACAAAAGCAAAGGGCTAAAAGAACCCTGAAATATTCCTCTTCTAAGAGAAATGGGTTCTGAAGTCACCACCACACATCTCAAGTTGAGTTGATCAGCAATTCATTAAAGGCTGGAGTAAAACAAGTAGTCGCTCGGGGAGGTCATTACATTCCAATGACTTCAAAGTCCATTCGTGAGGTTCAGAATCATAAGCTTTTCTGTAGTCTATCCAACACATTCAGAGTAAGGTGGTAAGATTTAGCCTCTTCAAGGATCATTTTCTGAAATGGCAATTGATCCGTACAACCCAAGCACCCCTCTCCGGCTCCTTTCTACTCCATGTAAATAATGTAATTGGAAGTGCAGTATGATGAAACATGGAGTTATCAAATGATCACACTCGTCCTTGAGCTATTACGTCAGTGTCAAAAGACAAAACCAATATCTGTAAAATTAGGTACGATGACATGACAGACTCAGGCAATAATATTTACTTAGTCGTGTTCACCTATGATTTCAGTGAGTTGTAAGTGGAGGCTCTTCAATAATAGCTTGGTTTGTTTAGTTTCTGACAGCAATTTTCGAACTTCATCTCGTTCAGTATTATTAGGAACAATATCATTTTCACGGAGACATTACTTCATAGAACCATGGTCTTTATTGTAAAATATAGCAGTCCAACGTGTCTGCTCCCGAATTGCTTATGTTAGAAACACCAGGACCGAAGACGTTAAATAAAAAAGGATATCCATACAACTTTGTAAACCTCGGGATCCTTCGTCAACCGACTTAAAGTTAGGTATGTTTTATTATCTAGTATATTTGGAGAGCCATCGAGCAACATAAGCATACACTTCATCGATCTGGCGGGCACATTGATATTGACGTTCCATTGGGTGTCAGTTTCGTACATGTGAATCATTTTCTGTCACACAACATGATCGCTTGGGATGGCTATACGCCCAGTGCTCTGACATGGATTTGTCCTGCAAGCTCAGAGTTTGTGGTGTGACTGATACACAACAACTGATGTGTATCAGTCATAGGCCAGGCCAACACTCATATGAAGTCTCCAGGTCTGTTGCCTGGTCACCCAGCTGATTGTCTTTGTTTCCAAACATCATATCTGGAAAGTGGTCTGTCAAAATATCATGATGCTCGACTAAATTTACTAATTGCGTATTGCGCATTTGGACATCCCCCGTCTAATGTTGATCTTAACTAAAGATGTAACTGGTCAATCCCTCTTGGAAAAAGCTCCTAATAATCCCGTAACTAGGTTCTATTGACCAGGATATACACGAGTGTATATCCCTGCATCGACAATGTCCCCTAGGTTCACAGGTTGTTGTGAAAACCCCTCTTTGTACCCTTATTTCAACTATTGTCCTAACGTGGCAAATGTCCACCACCCGACTACGCAGGTGTCTCTGCTGCAGGTATGAGTAGGGGACAAATGTTTTCCAGTGACCAGTGCATCATTAATGGGGGGAACAATCTGCGTAATTAGTGGGACAAGATGGTATCCCCCTTACCCCTGATACAGGGGTTGTGATTTGCCGGGTCGGTCCCATCAACTGCCTGAGTGGATAATGGACTTTGGCGTGCAGCATGTAGCATATGTAACTTGAGAACATATGGGTTCTTTATGATGAGTCACATCTGAGGGTAGGGGAAGGCGAGTACTAGAGGTTATACTCACTATTGACACGTTGTTGTCCGGCCAGGTGCTCGGTACATGGTCGGAGACCAACGTTGGTGCACGGTGGATGGCTTCTGACATGGGGGAATAGTCAGAATTGGAGAGAGACAGAACCAGGGGTTGGACGTTAGTGTTGGCTATTTTTAAACAAATTGAGTCGTTCCCTGACGAAAGGCATAATATGACTGATGAAGTGACTTCAGTTTACCCCGGGCTACTAGATGTGCTCGTAGCATAACGATTGTGCGATTCATGGCGATAGGCAAGCAGCCAATTTTAAATCAATATACCCAACACTGTGATATTCAGGTATGTGAACGGCAACGGATTTGGCAATTGTTCAAGCGGGTAGGGATAGTTGTATTGTTTGCGTGAATTGGGCAGGTGCAATACATAGGCG